CAAGAAATAAATGTGCAGAAAAACGACGCTGCGGCAGCGCCCACACGCTTCCTGCATCGCTTGTTCCTGGTCGCTCGCACGAACACACGCACTACCATCTTCCCTCCACACCACCAAACATCGACAACAAACCACACAACACACCACACCACGAACATTCAGACAGCATTCTCCACATCCTCGTTATCGCTGCGCGATAGACCACACCCATGGCTCCCTGCTGCACAGGCATACCGGAACCCAGCCCTTACTCTGACAGATCACACTCACCAACCTCACCCCGCGCACCCACCCCGCTCAGAGCTGTGTCTGCTCAACTCTGCACACAACACAACACTCAAAGGCGGCGGACGAGCGGGAGCGAACGACCCCTGACTTTCTTGAAGCATCTTCTAGAGAAAGGCCGACCGTGACGCTGTTCCGGCCCCTCTGCCAGCAGACGACGGTACTGCCCTTTGCTGGCTCAGGCTGCTACGACGACTGATCGCATTCTCGTGGAGGAAACACTGTGTGTACATCACAGGTTCAGATTGTAACGCTGCTAATCAGAGTGAGCCTCTCTTGTCGCTCCTCTGGCCCCGCCCCTCCCCTCCGCCCTGGAGGGCTAATTGCAGCACGGTCAAAATTGGTGGACATCACCCCCGGCACTGCGCTAGCTCCTGGACTACCTCCATGCTTCAACCATATGAGCCGTCCATTCGAGAGCACGGCTAACCGGCGCTTGCACGGTCGTCCCCACCCCGCTTCTGTGGGCTGAATGAGAATGACAGTAGCATGGAGTAGTCAAGTTATACCGCTCCGGAGTCCAGTTTCTTACAGCCGCTTTGGCTTTGCAAGCAGAGAGTGTTCCAGAGCCCGACCCTGGCCCCTGGCTGCTTTTGGTCCACAATCAGGGTGTGTTGATTTTGCAAATCACCAGTATGTAACATCTATGGATGGCTGACTGTTGGCTTTTCAGCTGGAACTTCAGGGAAATGGAGACGATGAACTCTCAGAAGGCCAGCATGTAACGCGAAATTTCTCGTTTCAAACAAACAGCTCTCTGCGCTATCAGAAAATGGATGAAAAACAAGCACTGTAAAATTGTATCTCCTTTCAAGATTTCCTTGCTGAATTCATACCTTATCCTGCATTTTAAAAAGAAGAAAAACTACCCTACTCCAATATACCCTTATAGTCTGACAAATGTAACTGGCAGGAACTCCCCTCCGTTCCCCCAGTCCAGCATCGTCTCCTCCTCAGGAACCCCGGGGCCTGCAGAGGGGACGCCAAGGGCGGCCGGCGGGGCGTCGGCCTATCATGATGACCCAGCGAGACCACACCTGAATAAGTGGTTCCCAGTAGCTCCAGTCGACAGTGGGGAGTGTATTACACATACTGGGACCCGCCAGAGCAGCCACACTCACGCCCGGACCCCTCACTCTCCTAATGAGAGTTTGAGCGCGGCAGTGCTGCCGGCGCGTGAGGTAGACAGCCCCTCGCTAGAGTCCTCCATGACACTTCGCTCTCCATTGCACGAGACTGGTCTGCAGCCACCTTCCCCACAGCAGTCGTAGCCTGTCGTGTGCTCGGCTCGCCGCGTTGACTGGTCATCACCCCCACCGCTGCCTGTCTAACCTTGAGTGCTCGCCTGTCCGGGCTGCTACGTCTCTGGGTTCATGTGTGCCAATACTACGCCAGGGCGCGCGCGTGCTGTGTGTTGTCTGGCCTGCCTGGAGCTCTACCTCCTCATTTACGTTTTCTTGTACGGCGGGCGTGTGGTCCGTCGCGTGCCGGTGTCCTGCGTGTGTTTGGGTGTGCCATCCATGTCGCTTCTTTTATGGCATTTGCTCGTCGCGTCACAGACCAACACGTCTGCTCGTGCTATTCTCCTTCCACTCCAGCCAGTACCGCTGGGCCAGCTCCAACCAGGCAAACTCAACGTGTCAGCCCAGTTTCCTGCGAAGACGTTACAAGAGCAGAACACTGTCCTGTACGGCCAAAGCCGCCGCCCACCGACGACGAGTTAATCACACCCACGACCGAACAAAGAACAGAGAGCAAGTTAATAAAAGAAAGAAATCGGCCAGAGCAGAGCAGACGAGACGAACGGGAAACGGCACTGAGACTGCCGGTCCTGAACACAACAGCTTGGCGTCGCCGCCAATGCGCTAGCAAGATGCGCAGCTCTTGGGCGATGAAGGTAAGGGATCACCCACAGGAACTACATGCCCCACCACGGGGGAAGAGCGATACACCACCTCCCCTCATCCGCAGGTACATGTCCTCAATGGGGCATTCACTCCAATTGCTGCGTCCCCCTTCTTTCTCCTCTCCAACTTTTCACCTCAGCACAATGCCAGTGAGGGACCGAGCCCGCTTCCCTAATCTGAGACTGCAGATAGTAATACTGATGGGTCCAAACTCGTGGACCTCTGCCCTCTTCAAGCAATGTTCGATCTAAGGGCCGCTCGCTGTGTGTGTAGGTCGTGTGTGTGTGTTGTGTTGTGTCTGGTGTGTGTGCTTGGTGAGACAGGCTCGGCGGCTTATCTCCCCAGGCAGCTCAGGCTACGATAACCAACCCTGGGATTCGAATAATCGATTCATACTTTACTGTGCCTAACTATAATCTATCATTCTTTGACTGCATACTAAGACTCTAAAAGTGCTGAAAAATTCCTTTCATGAGCAATAAGCTGAACTTCTACCCTATGCGCTTATCACCTGAGGTAACCTTGCTGATCTGCCTTTAGCTCTCCGTGCAACGCCAATGTGGAGTATAGAGAATGCAAAAAATAAGTTCCAAGAAATAATTGTGGCAGAAAACACCGACGGCTGCGGCACGCGCCCCACCAACGCTGCTCCTGCCTGGCCAC